ATTGAAATGAATATTCCTTTATATTTGATAGTAAAGTTTAAAGAGAATTTGGTTACCATAAGCCTACTTTGATTTATACCCCGTTTAGAAAGCGTAAACCAAGCTACGAAGCCTATTTCTTTACCATCTAAGGAGATATAAGAAATTAGTAATAGCAATAGGGGATGCAGCAATAGCAATTAAAAATCAAGGCATTGGTATTCTTCATGGCGTACAAATCTATAAGACTGTACTTCAGCAACTTCGTAGAGTATTTTGTAAATTGTATGATTAGAGCCGGTGTGATAAGCTCTGATGGAGCAGTGATGCATGATAGAAGTAGCATAAAGGTAAAATATGAGAATGCCGCTGTGGCGAAAAACTATATTAAATCCGGTAACGGGCTACACTAAATGTATTCTCAATCGATTTTGAACTTGTTTCTACTTGTTATACGTTTTTAAAATAGATCAATTGATATAGAATGTTATCATAAGCATTATTCGCCCTGAAGTCATATTCCATTTAAACATCTGGTGAAATATCATCAAGAAGGATCAAGACAGGTAATAAGTGGCCCGTTCCAACTTGTAAGTCACATCCACAAGTTTGCCATTCGAATCTTGCCTTGGTTGCTTAGGGAACAAGGGCAAAGGTGCAATCCAGGCTGACTATACCTCTTTTGTAAGAAAAGCGAAACCTCAAATCGAGGCTCCGAACATATGAAAAACTTTATCAACTTATAAGATTGTGTTTAGAACTGTTTGAATAGATAATTTCCGAAGCTCAATATGCTTTGTGCTCATTAATTGATATGGCGGGATTGATTAGAGAATTTCTGAAAAATAATTTTTAGGAATTATTTGAAGGACACTGTGTAAATTTTTCAATGCAACTGATTATACAAATCAATTCAAAACTTACGGAGACAAAATAGGTCCGATCGAAGCAATACTTCAGACCAACAGGAACAAAATCTAATGTGTCTTCAATTAGCTCCTTCGAACATGTTTCAGGCTCGTAGCCGGAAATAGTTGCAGTGGCCTCGATGGGCTTCGGCCCACAATCAGCATTGGATTGCGAAGCCATAGCTGCTGTTTAAGTGAAGTCCAGGTGTGGACGAGTTGTGATGGATAGATTTAACTGTCGAGCAAGCAAACGAAGGAAACAGACGAGCCAATAAGTCGATAGTAAACAGGCTGTGAACTCAAAATATGTCGCAAGAACAGCTCTCGACCAGTGTCAATTGCCCTTCATATTTAACGAAGACATTCCCGAAGTGTTGGGGTTTCGCGCTCCATTGTGTTTTTTAGCTTAGCAATAGATTAGGAGATGGTGGTCCCGCAAAATACCAAGTTCGAGCAAGCCCCATAACCACTTTCAGCAAGATAAGACAAGCTCGCTTTGATGGTATCAGTAAAAGCATAAAGCCCAGACTATGTAAAGAAAGATTTGTTTAAAGATCAATTCCGACCAAATGCTAGATTGACCTGCAGATGAGACGTTATAACACGCTCTGCAGCCTGACCTCTAACAATGCTACCCGAGCAATCACTTGGATAGTGGCTAAGGCAGAACACTTAAGAGAATGAACAAAATAGAAATTCATAAAAATGTATAAATCTAACCCGAGACTTAAGAAGATGTATTGAATATCAATATATTTATTTACTGAGTCTGCAACATTGTGCGCACGGTCGTGCATAGAATGAATATGAAAGATATGTAGAAAAAATTAGGTCGGAGATGCACAAGTAGATTAGGAAGAATGTGCAGGAGCAAGAGGTCTTATAAGAAAAATAGAATAGGATCAGGCCCAGAATCAGGTCGAACTCCAGCACACCTGAACCAAGGTACCGACACAACAAATAGAGGCACGCCGAGGCCAGAGATAGAATATGAAAAAGAAAAGTGGGTTCTGACAGAAATACGATGCTCGGATGGTAAAAAGAAGGCAGTAACTTTAAGCATCAGATAAGAAAATGGGTTGCCGGAGTAATGGGCATTGAAAAATGAAATTCGTGTTTTTGCGCGCGCATGTGACATCTAGACACGATTGTATTGAGATGGTGAACATATGATTATCTTTGTTAGGTCAATTATCCCAAACTGGAAGTAGGCATACTCATCGCGTATGATTAAGGTAATGAATTAAAGAAAAACCATGTACTCGGAAGATTGGTTACAGGTTTAGGAAGATAGAGAAGCAAGAAAGTCAAACAACATAAATAGTGAGCTGGATAGTAAAAATGATTTAAAGTGTGCATGTAGGGGGAAATATTTGGCGGTAAAAGTATACATTCAACAGTCGCAATGCAGTATGAGTAAAATATCGTCATGTTGGGAGAGCCAAGAAGCACTTAGAACTGTACAATGTGCTTAAAAATAAGAGCCCTTGATTAGGAGTGTAGGAGAATAAAGCAAGTTCTTTCCAAAAAAAATTCCAACAGACCAGTCTCATTATCATGATGTGGGGGAAATTTCGAGTAAATGTTGGCTGGCCCGGACTCGAAGAAAACGGAAAGAGAACTTTCAAAAACAGAGATAAATAAATAGAAAAGATAGACAAGTGAAAGGTATACGTCTGAAACTACCAAAGGGAATGAAGGTGGTGTAGGTAATGAGGCTGATGGTTTAAATTTAAGGCTGCAGCAGAGAAAGCAAACAACCACAGATCCGAGCGGGCCCAAATAAGCAAGATTTAATTACAAAATGCCTAAGAAATAGACGGGTAAATAAAAATTTCGCATCACTTTCGATTTCACGGTGCTGCCACGTAGATTAACAAACATAGATTGGTGAAAAAGTTATATTTTGTACAAAGAGGCCAGCTTGCTCAGGCCAAGGGAAATAACTGTCCCGAGGCTCGAGGCATTGGCATGGTAAAAACGACCGCACATTCCGACCAATTCCTCTAAGAAACATTTGCAAGGAAAACCTTAGAAGGGAAGGGAATCCCAGACTTTCAAAGGAGATACTCCAAGCAATTCTCGAATAAATATTAGTGGAGAATCGACTCGTAAGCTGACATTTGAGGGAACCAAACATGAACATACTTGTTCCAAAATCATTACAAGAATATAAGAAGCAGACTGGGGGCTGTACACGGAGAGATGAAGGAAGAGACAAATAGGAGTAGAGAGGAACCAACCAAAACAAGGTTGAGGCAAGATGATCACCGTTTACGCCGGCACTGACGCTTGTGCTCTTTCTGCCAATGCTCCTGTTGACACTGGATGCTGCAGTAAGAAGTGTTCCAGCAGCAGTGGTAAATTGCCTCAGTCAAGCAGTTACGGCACCATTGACGTCGCTTGGCTTGGACAATAGTTTCGGCAAACCGGGCCTCAGCTGCCTCCATTGTTTCCCTGGCAGCCTTTTGCTCACGCTCAACAGCTTCGCGAAGTCGTAACTGGCCCTCTTGGACTGCCGCTTGCACAGCGGCCTCCTTTTCTTGAGTAAACTGGCGTGTCAACCGTTCCTCGAGCTCGCGTAAAGAACGTCGCGCCTCTGTCTGGGATGCCAAGCGAGCATCCTCCAGCTCTCGACATTTAGAGCAAGCCTGGGCCGACTCGAATACAGCTGGAGTCTGAGTAAGTAGGGAGTGAGAAAAAGTCGAATAAGAGTAGTATGGAAAAGGGGGCAAAATGTAAAAACAGTTAGGCTTATAAATAAAAACTGGTTCTTTTTAAAATAAAAACAAATATAACTGTATGTCCTTAGAAAATAAGGTATGGTTTAGTGCAGAATAAAGACATAGAATAAGGGTCAATTCAAGCTAGAAGTGATAATTAAATGCACTATTGGCCATAGAATTACTATAGTGTGAAAGGAAGATCACCGTTTGCATAGTAGTGTGCCCGTCATTGAGAGGTCGTAAATAAAAGTTAAGTCAAATGTAGATTGGGTCGTAATGGCAATGAGGACATTGACTTCAGACAGTCGCATAAGAGGCTAAAAAAGTATAATAAGAATTTTGACTACATGTGGTCCTTCCTCACTTTCTAAAGCAAAAAATGTAACTAACTTATAATTAAAATTGAAAAGGGCTTCCTCTAATTACAGAAGGCTAGACTAGAAGAAACGTATTCTAGTGAAGAATGAGACGCCATTGATGCTTGT